CTCCCTTTAGTAAACCTCCCCTTAGTGAAAACGGCCTGGGACCGAAACCGACGCACCTGGACCCGCAAAAGTGACGGCCGCGACGCCCTCTCGCGAACCGACAACGGCCAATTCCTTGATCGACGTGTCGGGGTAGGAGGTCCGTCCACCCCCGAGGGATGCATCGACCCCCGACCGCCCACTTCATCGCCCATGGGGGCCCGACAGCCCACCCCGGCCCAGGAAACGTGCGGTTTCTCACTACCGGGGGCCCATCGCCGATCCATCGGCGATGTATCGCTGAATCCAGGTGGCTTTACCCCCCCCTCGTGCCAGCCTCCCTATCGCTGCCCCTCGCAGCAGTGCCTGCCCACTCTGAGCAGGCAACTGTCGGCGCCGCGCGCTAAAAGACGCCACTGCCGCCTCGCGAGCCAGGCGATCGGGGGGCCGCATCGGTTGGCGGCGCGCGCCAGGGGGTAGGGGGAGGGGGGAAGGCCTCTTAGAAGGAGGCTGCTTCTTCGAAGGAGGCTTCTTCGAAGGCTTCTTAGAAGGAGGCTGCTTAGAAGGAGGCTGCTTCTTAGAAGGAGGCTGCTTCTTAGAAGGAGGCTGCTTCTTAGAAGGCTTCTTAGAAGGAGGCTGCTTCTTAAAAGGCACCGGTCCTACATCCACAGACGAGGCCTGCGCCTTCTCCCCCCCTCCCCCATACCCCCCTTCTGCGCGCGGCCGACATTGGGCCCGCACCCAAAGGTCACTCCGGCAAAAGGTCGCTCTTAGACTCTTACGTCTCGTCGACCCCAAGAGGTCTCGACCCATTCCACGGGACCGGCTTTTCATCCTGAGTCGTTTTTCGACGGTCCCGAGGCCCGGGAAGGGCCCCCGAGAGGCCGACAATAGTGAAAAACCTCCCGTTGTGATTTGTTCATGACTCCTCCTCCTCCTCCTCCGCCTCCTCCTCCTCCTCTTCCTCCTCATCCTCCTCCTCCCTCCTCCTCCTCCTCTTCCTCCTCCTCCCCTCCTCCTCCTCTCTCCTCTCCTCCTCCTCCTCCTCCTCCTCCCTCCTCCTCCTCCCTCCTCCTCCTCCTCCTCCTCCCTCCTCCCCTTCTCCTCCTCCCTCCTCCCTCCTCCTTCCTCCCTCCTCCCACCCTCCTCCCTCCTCCCTCCTCTCTCCTCCCTCCTCCCTCCTTCTCCCCCTCCTTCTCGTCGAGACAGGCAGGGCCAGACGGACAAGCCGGCCCGGCTACGCGACGCGAGCCCCGATCGGTGGCGGGCTGCCCAAAGAGGACCGGGGGCCGGCTGGGCGCCCCGACGCTGTGCGCCCCCGCGGGCCTGCGGCTCGGTCGGGAGGGCTGGCCGCCGGGTGCCTGGAGGGCAGCCAGATTCCCAGGCATCGGGCGTCTCGAAAAAATCGAGACGGAGATTTGTCGTGTAGTTTTTGGCCTCTCGGGGCCCTCGCCGGGCCTCGGAGCCGTCAAAAAACGACTCGGGGTGAGAAGCCCGTCTCGGGGATGTGGTCGGGAGGCCGGGGGCCCATGTCTCGAAGAGATCGAGGACGTCGGATGTGTGGGTTGAAGGGGGCCCAGGGACACACAAATCAATAGACACGAATCCCAGGATGCCCCATCTTTTCTCCCATATGTTCTGGGTTTTCGTCTTCCCCCCCTCCCCATACTATTGTCCCATATCTTCTGGGGGATCGACGATTCATTGTGTCTGTGTGTGTTTTCCCCCTCCTGGCAGATGGACCAAAAAACAAACGACACCACCCCACCTACGGCCCCAAGGGGCCTAGGCGTGGACTTTTGCATGGTAAACGCTACGACCCCCGATAGGCAGCAGCGCAGCATGGAGGGCCGTAGGTGGGGTGGCGTCGCTTGTTTCTGGTCGACTAGGCGCCTCCCAGATGGGGTCCTAGATGATGGGGTCGGAGGATTGCGCCGCATCGCCGATGCACCCGCGATGCGGCTACATGTGGAGCCCGACCATCTCCACGCTGACGTCGCCGATGCGCCGGCGATGCAGCACCATCCTCGGAACCCATCTGCTCGGATCCCATCTGGGAAGCCCAGAGAGGAGGGAGGAGAATGGGGAATCCCGAGCGCGGGCCCGGGGGGTAAGTGAGTGGGGCGGCGGGCGACGAAAACCCCAAGGACGCAAGAGCAAGGAAGAGCAAGGACGCAAGGGTACCCTGAGCAAAGTCGCGCGTCCTTATTAGGGTTTTTGACTGTAAGTGAGAAGGGGCTGGCCTTCTCAGAAGGCTCAGACGTTCCCTGGCCTTCCGCGAAGTTTCTACGCCTTCTCCCCGAAGACAGAGAACAACTCACCGAAGGCCGGAGGAGTACCGAGAAGCCCCTCCCGCCTCCTGAGAAGGCCCCCTCCTCCTCACTTCCCCCCCTCGCTCGCCGCCGAGAATAGAGATAGATCGAGGAGAACAGAGAGCGGCTGCTCCAAGAGCGCGCCGATCGGACAATCCACCGGACGTCAGAGCGGAACGCGGAGGGAGGATGGGAACATGTGCCTCGGGTGCTTCACGAGCGCTCGCCGCGGCACGCGTATATATATATATATATATATATATATATATATATACATATAGGTATATATATATACACCTATCTATATATATATATAGGTATATACACACATATATACATATATATATACACATATACACACATATATCGGCCTCGGAGCGCGGAGCCCCCCTGTGCCGGGCAAGACCCGGACGTGCAAGCGCAGGCGTGTTTCGGAGCTCCGCGCGACCCGCGGGCCCCGAGGCTGCCGCCGTTCTCTCCGGGCTTCTCGAAATCAAAAACGGGGCACGCAAGACTTGAGTCGGGCGTGTCCCCCTTAAGTCGGGCGTGTCCCCCTACAAGGGGATTTTCGACGAAGAATAAAGAAATGCCACAACAAGAATCCAAGATGGTCAAAAAATGCTCCAAAAATAGTCCCCGAACTATTTTTTACAAAAGCTAAATATTCCCCCTGTATAGGGACAAGCCCGACTTAACGCAAGATTCGGGTTAGGGGGGCTCGGGTTGGCCTGATGCGGCCGTCAGGAACATGGCGAACCCAAATCTGAAATTTGACGCGAGCTCCCACTGCAAACATTCCACAGAATCTGGACCGTCAAGATCTGGGACGGTCTCGTCAAAAAGCGTCGGTGAACCCGAGTTCTGGCGAACTCGAGTCTTACGCTTCCCCGATTGATTCAAAAAACGAAACATCAACTCCCGGAGGTCCGCACGGATTCCTTGGCCTTCTCGCAGTGGCCGCCTTCGCGGATTCGGGCGGGTGACCTCCCCGAGACCTCGGCGGAAGCAGGCGGAACGTCGGCGCGGGCTGGCGGAAGTGAGGGCGGCTACGCCGGCAGAAGGTCCGCTTCTCGCCGCCACGGCTGGATCCGCCTGGGACAACCGTGCAGGAGTCGGGCGCGAATAGATGGGGGGGCGATGAAAGGGGGGAGGGAGAGAAAGGCGCCCTTCTCGGGCCCTGAAGGCCCCATTCTGGGCCCGAAAGGGCCCCTTCGCTGTTCGCTGCCCCCCTATGTATCGCCCCACCATTGCGCGTTCTCCGAAGGATGGTCCGTGGGAAGGGTCCGGGGACCGACTCTTCTGGAGCGAATTGGGGCCGCGTGGGAGGAGCTGCTATGGGGGGAGCCCCAGCTGGCCCTCCTCCTCCTCTGGGAAAGAAAGGGGGGACGAGGATGGGCGCGGAGATGGTCTCCTCCTCCACCCCCCCCGGAGGAGGTCGGGCTGTGAGAGGCAACGATTGGGTGGGGGGGGAGCTGGCTCCTGGGGGGGACATCGAGCCCGAATCGGCGATGCGTCGCCGATGGGCCGGCGATGGGCCGGCGATAGCGAAGCCGCACGTCCCTGGGCGGGATGAGCCACCGGGCCCCCGAGTAGGCGATTGGGAGTCGATGTGACCCCCCCATTGATGGGCCGATTTCCCACCACCGCTACCACAGGCAGGAGAGGGAGGCGGAGGAGGAGGAGGAGGAGGAGGAGGAGGAGGAGGAGGAGGAGGAGGAGGAGGAGGAGGAGGGGAGGAGGAGGAGGATGAGGAGGAGGGGGAGGAGGACCCCCCATCCTCCCTCCTCCCCCGTCCTACCTGTGGTGGTGGTGGAAAGCTGGCCCATCACCCCAAGCCGACGGCCCCCCTGGGCAATGCTCCAGGGCACCTAGGGCTCCCAAGTTCGCGCTCTCGCGCCGCCCCCCAAAGGGAGAAAAGGAGGACGAGGAGGAGGGGGAGAAGGAACGAGGACCGCGAAGCGCGAAGCGCGAATAACTTCGCGCCCTCGTCCGAGCCCTTGGGCACCGGGCCTGGCCAGCCCCCTCCTGGGGCCACGGCGACCCCAGGACCCCTGCGCACACGGGCCCCCTCGCGCAGGACGAGGAGCAGCAACATCCGACGGCGCTCCTCTTCGCGGACGGGGCGCCTAGGGGGGGGGATGTTCCAGGGAGGTGTGGGACCCAGGGTCGGGGGGGGGGGGCGGAATCTATTCATTTATCAGATACGTGCGTGTATACATATATATACATATATATATATACACAACTATATGCATAAATATATGTATATATACATATATATATATATACACAAACATATATATATATATATATGGGGTGTATATATATACACACACACGAGCCCCGGGGCTGGCGAGAACGTGCGCAGTTGGGGACCTGGCTCCGCGCCCCCCCCGGGAGCCGCCACGGCGGGGCCCGCGGCGCGAGGCAGAGGCGAGGCCGAGCGAGGAGCCGCACGCGAGCCGCCGGCGCGCCCCGGGGAGGGGGCGCGAGGCCCGGGGCCGCTCCGAGGGGCCCCTGGCGGGTGCCCTTCGTGGGCCCCTTCGCGCGCCTGGGAGGCCGCTCCCTCGACGTCCGGGAGCTTGGCGGCGGCCCTCGCCCTCGAGCCCGTGGCCCCAGCGGCCGCCGCCTCCTCCGCCGCCCTCTTCAGCTTCCGCCTCTCCCTCGCCTTCCTCTCCCGGGCCTCGGCCTGCCGCTTCCTCTTCACCTCGAGGCCTGTCCGCCGGTCGACCCTGCAGAGGTCCGCGAGGCCTGACTGCGCGGTGTCCAGGTACTCGAACAGCTGATGCTCGTTGCCTTTCCACTGGCAGTCGTAGCAGAGCGCGAGGAACTCCTGCTTGCTCAGAGTTAGATCACGGTTCTTGTCCGCGATATCAAGACCAGCCCTGAGGGAGCCGTACCTCGAGATCAGGCACTCCTTTCGGGATCCACCCAAATGGGGTTGACCCTGAGGGGGGCATGAGTTCGATCCGCTGGTGCACCGATCTGCTGTGCAAACAGATGCCCCCCGCATGCCCCACCCATGGGCAACTATCGGGAGCTGGCTGCGGCTGGGGGGCATCTGTTTCGGGCGGTTCCGTACAAAAACCCGAACTTTCTCTCTCTCTCTCTCTCTCTCTCTCTCTCTCACACACACGCCAGGGCACACACACACACACGCGCACGCACACGCGCACGAACACACACACACACACACACACACACACACCCACACCTTTTGCTGGATCCCGATCCTTGAAGCTCCTCAGACCTTTCCTCATGCTGGGATCAAGGGTGTCAAAAGTCATCCAGGTGTCCTGCAGGCCCATGCCCTCCCAGGCTTTCGTCGCCTCATCTCGCGCGATGCCAGCCTTCTCGCACGCCCTGACGAAGTGGTGAATGTCGACCGACCGACTGCCTGAGGGGCAACGTTAGGTGATGAATTGAAAAATGCCCCCTAACCCTTTCGGAGGGGACCTAAGTTAGGAGGGCCAAGGGCATTAGTGCATCGAACCAAACCACTCGAAAATATGGCCCCCCATGCGAAGACGGCGACCTCAATAAGGACACGTCTCTTCACTGTGTTATTAGGGTGGGGGGGTCCTTGATCCTCGATGATGAGGGGGGTCCGGCTCAGGTTATGTTGCTCCCATCGTAATTAAGGACCACATCCCAGAGATAATTTCGAGCACCCGGAAAAGTGTCGAAAGAGTGTCGAAACAGTGTCGAAACAGTGTCGCCCAGGGCCCGACACGCGAAAACCCTCGAGATTCAGTATTTGTTTCTGGTGCTCGAAATTCTTTCTCGTGGTCAAGGCTAAAGTAGGTTGGAACATCATAAGGCCCAGGGAGGAAACACATCGACCTGGAGCCCGCGACGCATCGCCGACACGGCGCGCAGGCTCCCGAGAGCGGATCCGCATGCCCCCGGGCGGGCCGGGCCACCGGCACCCCTTCTCCGCGGTCGGTGGGCGATGGGGCGTCGATGCGTCCCCCTCCGGAGCCCGCCCCCCCCCCCCCCCCCCCCCCACACCGAGGCCCCGCCCTTCTCCGTGGTCAGTGGGCGACTGGGCGTCGATGCGTCCCCTTCCGGAGCCCGTCCCCCCCCCCCATCACGAGGCCCCGCCCCCGAGGTGCCCGTCGTGCTCAGAGACTTGCGCCATGCGCCGAGCAGCGTCCCGTACTTGCGCGCCAGCTTCTGCCTCACGGCGCCCGCGGCCCTGCGGCCCGCCTGCGCCGCCCGCTCCTCGGCGCGGGCCTCCACGCCGACCCGCATGCCGATGGGGGGCGGCTCCTTGAACGGGATCCTGCCTTTCTCCTCGTCCTGCTCCCGCCACTCGTCCTCCATCTGCCTGCGCTTATCTGCGGCCTCCTGATTCTGCGACGCCGCGTCCTCGTCTATGTCCTCGAGCTTGATCTCTCCGACGTCGCCCGCGTCCAGGTAGTCCAGAAGCCGCTTCAGGCACTTGCTGCAGTTCATCTCGATGCACCACGCCTTGAAAGACGTGGTGCTCACCGTGCCGGTGCTGTCGGGGTCGACCTCCTCGAATGCCCGGACCACGCTCCCGTAGCGTGCCCGGCACTGCGTCTTGAACTCCTCGACCGCGTCTCTGCACCCGGGGTCCAGGTCATGCAGCGAGACGAGCCACTCGGCGCCGCCCTCCTTGCCCCCCTCGCCCCCCCCTTTGACCTTGTGGGCCACAGCCATGAAGAGCTCGTGCCCTGGAGGACTGTCGTCGTCGGAGCCCTCGTCCTCGGGGCGGAAGTAGCCGCACTGCGAGAGCACTCCCACGAACTCGCTCTCGTCGAGGTCGCCCCAGTCCTCGCGCGAGCAGCGGACACATCCACGCCCACCGCCCTCGAGCTCTGGACTCTGGGGCGCGATCCCGTGCATACACGCGGCCGCACGCGGGCGCCTCGCCCGGGGGGGCACCCCCGCGAAAACATGCCCCGCCCACAGGGGTCGGGGGGAACGAAAGGGGGGGACAGCAAAAGGGTAGGGTGGAGAATCAGCTCACGTCGCTGACTTTCCCAGCGCCTCCCGGCGCCGGGAGGCGCACATGGATCCAGGAGGGCCCGGGGGCGGGGCCGAAACCAGCTGCACGCAACAGATTGCGTAAACCCCCCTCCTTTCCCTATCCCCCCCCCTTTCGTTCAGCCCGAGAATGGGGCCGCGAAAGCCGGGGCCCCGCCCGCGGGGCCGTGGATGTGGCGCGCGGGGGAGGAGCGGGGAGGAGTAGAGTTAGGTCGGGCCTCCCCCTACAGGCGGATTTTGGACGAAATTTAAAAAAAAAAAAAAAAAAAAAAAAAAAAACAAAAAAAAAAAAAAAAAAAAAAGTGGTCGACACATCGACCCCATGCAAATATTTCAAACTATTTTTGAATATTCCTCCTGTAGAGGGACAGGCCCGCCTCCAGAGCAGAGAGCCACGTGTTTGGCACTCGATCGTGAGCAGCCCACCTCACGAGACAGATTCTGCATCGGATCGGATTCCGTCGCTCGCAGGGCGGGGGAAGAGCGGTCAGAGGAGGAGGAGGAGGAGGAGGAGGAGGAGGAGGAGGAGGAGGAGGAGGAGGAGAGGGAGAGGAGGAGAGGAGAGGGAGGAGGAGGGAGGAGAGGAGGAGGAGAGGAGAGGAGAAGGAGGAGGAAGAGGAGGATGATGAGGAGGAGGCGAGGGAGGAGCACGAGGAGGAGAGAAACAGGAGGAGGGGGAGCAGCAGGAGGAGGAGGAGCAGGAGGAGGAGGAGGAGGAAAGGGACAGGAGGTGGAGGAGGAGGAGAGGCGAGGTAGGAGGAGGAGGAGGAGGAAAAGGAGGAGGAGGAGGAGGTGGAGGAGGAGGAGGAGGAGGAGGAGACGGAGGAGGAGGAGCAGCAGGAGGAGGAGGAGGAAGAGGAGGACGAGGAGGAGAAGAGGGAGAGGAGGAGGAGGAGGAGGAGGAGGAGGAGGAGGAGGAGAAGGAGGAGGAGGAGAAGGAGGAGGAGAGGGAGGAGGAGGAGGAGGAGGAGGAGGAGGAGGACTGATTGACTGACTGACTGACTGACTGACTGACCGAACACTTGCGATTCATGACCTGCTCCATATTTCAACAATGCAACGAAGCGACATTACATGCGTGCAGGATCTGTGATGCTCAAAATGCTGTAAAGGAGAGCTTGCCTGGCAGCCTCGCTGGGGGGCACCACTGGCTGACAGCGGGACCCCGAAAAGGGGAAGCCAAGGGACCCGCCTGCAGCACCGTCCCGTTCACGCACACTGCTCACAGGGGGGTCGAGAAGCCTCCTCAGTCGCAAACTACATGGAAAACGCGATTTCGAGAGGTAAAGGAAGCGAATAAACCAGAAACGTTACTGCAAATATTGGGGGCGCAGAAAGGCCGGAAACGTTACTGCAAGTAAGCCTCCGCTCTCACTGGTGGGAGACCCTCTCATCGCTGCCAACTGTTTCATGCACACCTTCGGCCGTTCCAACCGAGGGGTCCACGATGGTAGGGGGATGATTAGAACACTAGATGCACTGGAGGATGCAAACGCTGTGGCAACATCAGTGATCATGTGGCCAGCTCGAACCGAACGAGCCTGCAACTGGGCGGAACCATAAGAGAGCGGGACGGGGCCTGTGTCCGAGACATACTCCGGAAACGTCTTGTTACCAGATCTGCACTCTAAGATGGGTCTACCGATGCGGGCCTGCTGATTCAGAAGACTATCCTGCGTTACAACACCTCGCCTAAAAAGCTCAAGCATCCTCTCAGAACCGTTTATGCTGAACAAAAGAGCCTCGGCCCTCACTGGAGGCGGGGTGGGGCTCACATGTCGCCCTCGTCCTCGCCCCCGCCCTCGGGCTCGGCGTGCTTCGCGATCTAAGCCGCCGAGAAGCCCGTCTTGCGGAGCGGCTTCTCCGCGTCGCGCTCCAGCGCGCCCTTGGACGCCGAGCCCGCCTTCTTCTCGCCGCCGAGGTGAGTGATCATGAGCCCGAGCGCCGCGCCCACCGCGCACAGCTTGGCACCGTTGTGCTCGGTGGTGTCGGCCTGGAGGTACGGCGACATCATCAGCTGGAGCTTGCAGCGCGTCGGTTTGGCGCCCTCCTATTTCTTGTCGTACCAGCAATCCTTGAGACGGCAGTGCCTGACATGATCCTGCAACTTCTCGATGCAGGTCTCCTGGCCTGGGCCGGTCGTCAGCAGACAATTCCAGTAGAGCTTGAGCGTCAGAGCGACCTTCTCGTCCACCGGCACTCATCCCGCTAGATGCTGCAAGAGAGCCAGGAAGATGCGCGGCCAGGGAGGGCCGAATGTGTGGTTTGTCCTCCTGCGTCGCAGGCCTCCGAGTACGCCTTGCCAGCTTCCTTCATGACCGGCACGAGGGAGGCGCCGACGGGGGTGATCCAGCAACGATAGCAGGGGCCTGTCAGATCGTCGAGCTCTCTTGAGCTCGCCAGGGATAGGCGCGCGAGAGTGGCGACCAGGGCCAGCAGCACTCCGCCTTTTCATGCCCACAATCGCCTCGGTTTGCGACTTGAGGGAGTCCAGCTTGCTCTCCTTGTCCTTGTCCTGGCCTTCTCCTGGGGCCGCCGTCTCGGCCTTGCGCTTGAGGAGCCAGTCTGGGGCCTCGCCCATCTCGAGGTCTGCCGTCGCGCACCAGCGGAAGTCCCCCGAAGCGAGCCCGACTGCGCGCCGAGAGCTGATCCGCCTGAAGAGCGCGAATCCCGCACAACGGACATGTTGTAACTCATGTCAGCAAGACCCCTCTGAACGTGGAACATCGTTGTGCCGAGCACGCGCCAGTGTGATAGGAGTCGCACACATGGTGGTAAGCAGAGTCACGGGACTCGAACTTCGACGCACAAATGAAGCACTGGTTGGTGACGACGGCCGTGCCAAAGAGCGCCGTCATGCCATGGTGATTGCGAAGGTGCACCAGGAGCTGCCGCCTAGTTTCAAACCTGCGATCTCTGCCGCGGATTTCACAAACATGCGTGCCCTCAGAGTCCCTCTTGGTGCCTGAAGTGGGTAACATAGGCATATAAGTAAACCCAGGTGGAGGAATGCGTACACTAAGCCACCGCGCGCGTAAGCACTTCACATCAAGCCTGAGAAACCAATCAGTCAGGTCGGGATCCTGGAAGAGGTCGAAGGGGGAGGAGTCGAAGTCCTGGATCATAGAGTAGGCCTGGTCGCCCTCATCAGCCAGGGAGTTAATGTCCTCGACGAACCTACGTGCCCAGGGACAGGCCGCTGCAGGAAGTTGTTGATTTTCACCAACGATATCGACCTGGTAGGGCTTCTGAACCCTCATAGTGTCTAACAAGGCCCCCCACTCCGAGATGTGCGCGTCAGGATCCGAAACCCAATGTTGACACCAGCGAATGCGACGGGAACGAAGCTCGAGCTCCAGAGGCCCGATACGCCAATGCCTCCAGACAGCCCCATTAGGAATAGACTGTTATGCGAGCCCGTGTCGAAAGCGGCGGCTCCTCGCATGGCTTTGCGACCATATTTGATGACCCGCGCCTGCAACTTGCCATTGTGGACGGGGGTGAAGATAAACGCCTCAAACCCAGAGACTGCCGGCCCAAAAACCTTATTTAAGAAGATCGAGCGCTTCTCAACGTACGGAACTGTAGCCTGTGTCCAGTAGCGTCCCATACGAGCGTAGGCCGTGTCGGTTGCCTCCAGGCGCTTACTCAACTCAGTGGCAAAGGAACTATCAGCCCGAATCGTGCCGCCTAGGTACTCGGCCACGTCGTTAGGGCCCCCTGCTAGCTGGATGTTTAGAGCAAGCCCTAGGCCGACTAGCCTCAGACCCTGCACCGAAGAGAACGAGGACAGACTCGTTCTTGCTGGGGTTCAGCTTATAGTTGTGAGCGAGGAGGGCATTGGAGAGGATGGTGTCGAACGAGAGAGCTTTTTGACTAAGCTCCACAGCCTCATCTCCTCCCTCTCCTCGGCTTATCAACTCTCTTGCCCCGTCGTCCACATAAACGTGAAAAAAGACAGGTTCAGCTGGAAGTTACCTTCTTCAGTAAATACGTCCACTATACACAATTCAGCCGTGGGGTCGCCGCTCTGCGCATAATCATGTTGAGCAGCTTCAAAAACAGTGCCAATATCACGGACAAAGATTTTGGCTGTCCATGGGTCACCCTGCAGAGCACCGACGTTTGGACGAGCAAAGAAGAGGCCATCAGGTCCAACGAAGCATACTGCTGCCATGCGAAAGCGCTGCTCCCCGAACCTGACCTCATCCTCCTTCATGAACGATCTGTTGGCCCCAGAGAATGCATCCCAAGAAGTGCTTCCAAACGGGTTAGTAATGTCTTTGTGGTCAGTGATGTGCTGGAGCCCAAGACGTCGAAACCTCCAGGAGACAGACTGCTGCACCAGCATCGGGGTTTCGCGGCGGCGTCTGGCGATACAGTCATGTGAGAAGTAAGGTTCACAATCTTTCTCGTCGGGACGCAGACCAGTGTGTGACCGATTCTACGTATGCCATGCATCGTGCTAACCAGGAACGTACGAGTAGACTGGAGATCTATCTGCGGCGCCGTGAACCCAACACCTCTATATCTCTTAGAAGTCCTGCGGTAGGGTGGGACAACACCCAGCAAACCTCGAGCGGCAAGGACCAAGGGGGCACAGCTCGTCTTTTTCTCCTGCTTTCAGAAAATGGAGCGCGATACGTTTGAACTTCTGCTTGGCCCACGAGAGCCCCTCCCGAGTCCAGGGAAAACGATTGTCCCGAGCCTCGATGCCTGTAGCTGGGTCGTAGATAAACTCATCGCCCTCCTTGGCCCAATCTATGATGTCCGCCTCCATCCCTCCCTCCCCCGCCGATCGTTGTAGACTACGCTGTAGGTCAGAGGCACAGGGTTTAGCAGCCACGGCTCTGCGATAAATGCGCTTGCGGGGTCCAGTGCCACGGCCAGAGAGCAAACGGGCAAGACGGGCTGCCTCTGCTGGTCGTCCTTGAGCCACGGCCTTAATGAGCTCATGAGTAACATCCTCTCGCCACAAAACTGAACATCGACGACGTAGCTTTCGTAGGTTTCGAAAGAAAGTGCTTGAAGCTTCAGCGTAAGAGTCTCGATCGCCTCGAGCGCCTCGTCGGACGTAGCATCTAACTGGGACCTGATGGACCTACGCGTTGCCGAAACCTGTTTGACATGGTCGGATCGTCTTTTGTACCCGAGTGCCACCTCAGGTTTACTTGTAAACCGTTTATCCGCCTCCTCCCCCACCACCTTCAAGACAAAAACCCAGGGAGCGTGGGAAGACTGCTCCTGCCTCAAGATCTCCTTCCAGTTCTCCTCCTCCTGCATCCTGCTCTCGACTGCATTGAGGAAGCTGGCACGCTGAGCTCCCGTACGCAAACAATCTATTAGAGAATCCGTATTCCACCTAACTCGACGAGGTACGAAGCCGATGCGCTCGTTAGGGGTAAAGTGCGAGGGGAGACCGATGATGTCATGGTAGTTGTAGCGTAGCCGTGCGTGCAGTGGGATGTGATCTCGGGCAGCCTTTGTATTAATAATATGAAGAGACTTGCCAAGCTATCGAAGTGGGCCAGCGAAAAGAACAGACGCCAGAGTGCAACGCGGAAGGAAAATGTACTCAATGTGCGTCTCATTCCCCGTGTTGCTCACGAGTGTAGGGCCAGCACCAACAGATGTGTTGACAGCAACTAGATCAAGGTCCTCAAGAAATCTAAGCATCGCATTGGCCGAGTACTTCTGACGAACACGGGGTGCACGAGGGCCGGTGCTGGTGGACTCGATGTCATACCACCTTTCGGTCTCCTCCGGTTTGGCCCGGCCGAAACCTGAATTTAGACCAGCACAGATAATTGGATAGCATAGGGAGGAGGAGGAGGAGGAGGAGGAGGAGGAGGAGGAGGAGGAGGAGCAGGAGCAGGAGCAGCAGGAGCAGGAGCAGCAGGAGCAGGCCGGCCGGGGTCCGCGCGCGGGCCTGCGCGACTCCCTTCGCGCGTCGGCGCTGCTGGCAGAGGCGAGGGCGGGAGGCGCGAGGGCTCGAGGCGCCCCGAGGGCTGGCCGACCCGGGCGCGGCCCTCCAGAGCGCCGACTGCGGCATCCGCTACCGTCAACCCGTAGCACAAGGATGCGCGATAAGGATTTCAGAAACCTTGGGCGCCCACTTCGGGGCTTCTCGAGCGGGGCGCGGCCCACGAAGGCGGCCAAGGATGGGCCGGGGAGGCAAGGATGCAAGGGGGCCCTGGGGAAGGCTGTCCATGCTTACTATGCGGGTTGAATGTACACGTCGTTCATTTCTAATCGTGCTCGTTTCTAAGTATGCTCGTTTCTAATTGTTCCTGGCCCCCTGGTGGCCAGGAAGAGGCCCAGGATAAAACAATTAGAAATGAAAGGACCTTGGCCCCCCCCCCAAAAAAATCAAAGAACTTCGAAGAATTCGAAATGAACCATATGTACCTTCTCGGACATGTCCGCCACATTCTCCTGGGGCGAAAATGTCCGCCCTACGATTTCGCACTGTTCGGGGTGCATTCCCGGCACAATTCTCGAGCTGGGCAATAAACCAAAGCAGGGCGGTTCCAAATTCGAAGTCAGGGCCGCGCTTTCGGCTACACGCAAAAGTGGCCCTGGGCAAGAGCGGCCCTTGGTGCGCGGCTCCAGGGGGCCGCGGGGGGGCCAAGCACAAGAGCGCAAGCCAGTTCTGGGGGGACCTCTGTGAGCCCGCACCAGCGGTTGCGGGTGAAAGACCGCTCTGAGTCGATGCTCCTCGGGCGTTGCCTGATGGGGGGGCGACATGTGCGGGGGGGGGGGGGAGGGGAACCGCACCTTTCGTGCCCCTTGGGGGCCCCTTGTGGGCTCCAGGGGGCCCCACGGGGCCCCCATCGGGGCCCCTGGTAGGACCCGGAAGGAGCCCCTTTCTTCGCCCCTTCATGTAGCGCCACCCCGTCTGGGGAAAGCAAGAGGTACCAACACCGCTGCTCCCCGGACCTCTCCCGTGGGTGCGCTCTGACCAGGATTTCGAGGCGAAGCCAGCGGCGGCGACGAGGGCGACCCGGGAGGCCCAAGAAGGGGCAAGACGAGGGAAGGGCAGAGGTATGGGGTGTGGGTATACCTCTTCCTCCCCTGACCACTGCGCAACGCCCAAGCTTCCCGCCCACCGAAGGCCTCCGGGTCGAGCAGCAGCCGCCAGGCCCTCGTGACGGTGCCGCTCTGCGCGCGCAGCCACGCGAGGAACTCCTCCCGCGCGGACCTGCCCCGGCCCGCCGCGGCCCGGGCCCTGCGCGCGGAGCGCCGCAGCTCGTCCTGCGGGCCCCAATAAGATACACCACCACCACCACCACCAATCCCCCCCCCCCCCCCCCTCGTCCACCCTCATCTTCCTCTCCTAGACGAGCGCGTTCCACTACTCGCAAAGTAACTACTCGCAAATGGTCTGGATCCGCCGCGGGGGATCTACGATAAATTAGACCGAAGCAGGCATGTGTTTTTGTTCGGACGTTTGCGAGTAGGCACTTTGCGAGTAGTAGAACGTGCTCGGTGATCTCCTCTTTCCTAGGAGAGGGAGGAGATGAGGGAGGAGGGGGTGGTGGTGGTGGTGTATACCTTGGGGCCCCGCATCGTCCTGCTTGGCCGCGACGTCCGCCGGAGCCGGCAGCCTCGCCCCCTGATGGAGAACAACAAAAAATAAGCATAGACTCACGCAGGTCCGCGCGGATTCCTTGGCCTTCTCGCAGTGGCCTCGCCTTCGAGGATTGGGGCGGGTGACCTCCCCGAGACCTCGGCGGAAGCAGGCGGAACGTCGGCGCGGGCTGGCGGAAGTGAGGGCGGCTACGCTGGCAGAAGGTCCGCTTCTCGCCGCCACGGCTGGATCCGCCTGGGAAAAACGTGCAGGATTCGGGCGCGATTTAATGGGGGGCGAGAAGTGGTGGGGGGGAGAGGGGCACCGCTGCCGGGCCCTAGAGGCGTCCTTCGGGGTCCCAAAGGGACTCTTTTCGGCAGCCCTCGCTGCCCCCCCCATGCGTCGCCCCCCCAGTACGCGCCCCCCAGAAAAGGGATGCATCTGGCGGGTTCCGGGAGCCCTGAACCAAAAGGCCTTGCGATCTCCTGGGAGGCCGGCCTTCACTTCTGCCGGCTCCCGCCGGCGGAGGAGCGCCGACTTCTGCCGGCGGAAGGGCGCCCTCCTCTTACTCCCGCCGGCTTCCGCCGCCCCTCCGCCGCCCTCCACCAAGGGCGAGGTGCCAGCTCCTTCGACGCTCGCAGGCGAGGGGCCGCTCCTGGAACGCCGCACATCTGCACCGACCCTGGACGTGCCCGTCCTGGGCCCGGCATCGGTGCACATACACGCCCTCCTGGCGCCAGGATCGGCGGTGGACAAACCTCCCTTTAGTAAACCTCCCTTTAGTGAAAACGGCCTGGGACCGAAACCGACGGACCTGGCCCCGCAAAAATGACGGCCGCGACGCCCGAACCGAACACGGCCAATTCCTTAATCGACGTGTCAGGGCAGGAGGTCCATCCACCTCCGACAGGACCGGGGCACGCGCACGTTTTTTGCCGCCGGGCCTGCAGCTGCTTCCGGAACAGGGCCTGCCTCCTCTCGGCGGCGTGCCGGCGAGCGGGGAAACGAGCAGAGGCGGCGGGCCTCCTCGGCGCACGCTCCGGCGAGGCCCCCCCGCTGTCCGAGGAGCTCCCTGCAGGCCTCCTCCGAAGCCGCAGAGGGGGCCTGCCAGAAGGCCCGGGGGGCCTCCCGGGAGCCGCCCGCGGCTGCTGGGGAGGCCTGCCCCCCCTCGCGCTTCCCCACACGGAGCGCCGCCGCGCCTCTCCGCGTGCTTCGCGAGCAGGCGGGGCAGCGCCTTCTCTTCGGACCTGGCCTCGGCAAAGGCGCGCACCGCCTTCGTGTCGACCTTGCCGTCGCACTCGATGTCGAAGCAGGACCAGAGCTGGTCCACGTCGCCCTCGTACTCGAGGTCGACACAGAGAGCCCGGAATTCCTCGCGGCTGACACTGGCTCCGTACTTCGACGCCCGCTTCGGGTCTTTCGACTCGCCCTCCAGCCTCGAGCACCAATCGGCCAGCTTATTGTTGGCTATCTCTTTGAAGCTCCCGGCCGCACCGACGAGCTCAGGCGCCAAATCACGGAACTTGACTTGAGAACCGTCCTCCAACTTCAGCTCCTTCCACAAAGCAGACTGGTCGCCGTGGAACCCGGCGGCCGCGCACGCCTCAAAGAACGCCTCGCGACTGATCTTCCCCGCACCTGGGAGACTATCGCTGCACCGCTGCGCTGACTCACAGTAATCTCCCCCCCTTCCCTTCCTCCCCCCGTCCTCCCCTCGCCCACCAGGGCTGGAGGAGGGAGGAGGGGGCGGAGGAGAACTGGCGTGAGCGATCATGGCGGAGCTCAGCTGCACCGATACGCCACACGCGACACGTCGCGTGTTGACACGAACTCAACACGTAGACTCGAAACGCAGGTCTGGCACCCACGCTCGGCAACACGTGGGCCAACACCGTGAGCCCCCACGCAGCGTGTCCACACGGACGTCTTGAACACGGCACGCGTTCCGTTTCAACTCCGGCGTAGCAGGGCAGCTTAGTGGCGGAGGAGGAGGAGGAGGAGGACGACGAGACGAGACGAGGAGGGGGGAGGAGGAGGAGGAGGAGGAGGAGGAGGAGGAGGAAGAGGAGGAGGAGGAGGAGGAGGAGGAGGAGGAGGAGGAGGAGAAGGAGGAGGAGGAGGAGGAGGAGGAGGAAGAGGAGACGGAGGAGACGGAGGAGGAGCACCCTTGATGTCGAACTGCTTGTGCCACGCGCGCACGAGGGAGCCGAACCGTGCCTCCAGCAGCCGCGTCAGCTCCCTCCGCCGGCTCCGCCGCTCCTCGGGCGGCCGCCGGGAGGCGGCGCAGAGCTCGCGCTGCTGGGCCCACAGCGACCTGCGGGCCCTGGCCTTGCCGCCGCTCTCCTCGGCCTCCTCGACAGGGAGCACACGATGGGCCGATTCTCTGCCACCACTACCATAGGTAGGAGGAGGAGGAGGAGGAAGAGGAGGAGGAGGAGGAGGAGGAGGACCTCCCCATCCTCCATTCCCCCTGGTCCTACCCATGGCAGCAAAGGCGGAAAAATTGGCCCATCAGCACAGCGCAAACATCAAAACTCTCGCGGGTCCGCGCGAGCTCCTCGTCGCCCCTGGCGCGCTCCGCTGGGTGAGGGGGGCCCTGCGCCCAGCCCCAGAAACTCGCGCGGACACCTCCGACTGCTCCCCGCCCGACAGGCCGGGGCCGTCAGCTGAGAGGAAAGCTTCCTGCCCGCCTCGCCCGCGCTGCACACCGCGGCCGCCAGACGCGAAGACTCTGCTTGGCCCCATGGGTATCGCGCCTCGCCCGCCCTGCCTACCGCGGCCGCCAGCCGCCCGCCCTGCGCACCGCGGCAGCAGCGGCTGGCCCCTGGGCGTCCCGCCTCGCCCGCCTTGCCTACCGCGGGCGGCAGGCCTCAGAAATCCCCGAGAGTTCATAGCGAAATGAACAGGTATTTCAAGCAGGCGCAGCGAACACACTGCCCGACCAGGGAGGCGTCACGGCGCCCAGGCGTCACGACATCGTGCCGTCCACGGACATCTGGAGCAGACATACGGATCATACACTAAGAAAGCGCATCAAGAACATGCATCGAGAACATACAGTAAGAGCAGACAAAATCATTGTGTATGTGTATATATATATACTCACGCCAACAGCACGCACTACTAGCCAACACCCACCCCTACATTAAGTCCACACATCATGAGTAGGAATTGCGAACAGACACGGGGTTGTCATCATGAACAGACGCCAAGGGCACACATTAGCAGTATGGACTCACAGCATGTAAAAGGTAGAAGCATGCAGCAACAACTTGTACCACGAATCGGCATCAGACAAACACAACACACATATACATCAACAACCGTCACAAATCACCTACACCAGCAACATACATCAGAAACAGGCACCCTGAACATGCATCCATAGCATCTTCCGCACCAACAAGATACACCGACAGACATGTAGAGCCGCCGCCAACAACACACACACACACCAATAGCGTACATACAAATAGCTGCCAAGGCAGACATCAGGTATATGCGCCGAACGCATACATCAAGACCTGGCACAAACAAACAAATACGAACTAACTAACTGACTAGCTAACTGACTACGAACTAACTCACTAACAACCTAACACGCAGAGAACAGACACCAAAAGCAGGCAGCGAGAACCAGACATTCCGAACATACATCACGAACAGGCACCAAACACACATTCAAGAACATACATCAGTAAAATACGCCACGCGCGGCCATCAACAATACAAAATAAGAGCCGTCACCAATAGCATGCACCCGCAACTCATATGCATCAACAACAGACGCCCAGAATATGCATTGATAGTACACACTGGAAGAATACATCAATATCAGATGCAAGGAACAGCGATAAAGAGCACATGCACATGACAGACATCAAGACCAGACACCCAGAGAAGGCATCAAGAGATGCATACAGAACAGACATCAAGGACATACACTAAGAACAGACATCTTGATACACTGAAGCTCATTGATGGGAATCGCTCGAAGCGAGACAATCTATGTTTATGCCATGATTTCTGCGTCGATCCTCGGCCAGCCCCGCGAGGTTGTCCTCGGCCTCCTGGCACGCGTCCGCGCCGAATACTTCCACGGCCGAGTTGTAGTCCACGGCGGCCATGGACATCATGCCAGCGCCGTGCGCGTCCAGGAGCTCGAACAGCATGCGCTGGTTCCTGGGCATGCGCACCTCGTCGCAGAAGGTGTAGAACTCCTTCAGGGTCACGAGCGGGCCTTTCGCCGTGCTCCAGTTCCGGAAGGCCTGCGCGACCGAGCCGAAGCGCTCGCAGCAGCACTGCATGAAAGTCCTCAGCGCGACCGGCGCGAGCGGCTCTAACATGTCCAGCCTCAGCGCCTGGCTGGGCGGCCTCACGAGAGCCCGCCAGAGCTCCTCGACGCTCCCCTCGAAGCCGATCTCCTTGCAGGCGGCCTGCGGGGGCAACAAAAGTTGGATGAAGAGACGTGCACCTTGCGTGCAACGTTTGGGCCCGCGGTGACAATTCAGGGGCCATCTGAGGCCCCTTCAGAGCCAAGTTCCTGCGATCACCGATCCCCCATCGCTCATCGCACCCCCCCTGCCGTCGGCCCGAGCCTGCAGCCCCTCCAGGCCCACGTCGGACTTCCCCGCGGGGTCCAGCAGTTGACGCCACGCCTGCACCACGCCGCCGAAGCTCCTGCAGGAGGGCACCAACTATACACCCACACCGCTCCTGCCCAGGGCTTGGAGCAGGTGCATAGACATCTGCCGGCGGTGCCCTCCGATCCTGCGGAGGGCGGCCAAGAACCTGTCGACCACCCGCGTGCTGACCATGGGCCGCACCTCCGCAGCAGGCCTGGAGCTCTGCTCATGCGGGCGCAGCTGCCACAGGGGCCGCGCCGAGAGGTCGGCCCTCTCTGGCGGGTTGCAGAGGTCCTCCAGCCAGGCGAGGTCGGCGGCGGTGACGCCCGCCTTGCCGCCGAGCTGCAGCGCGCGGAAGACCCCCTCGAGCCCCTCGCGCCCGATCCCGCCCGACTCGCCCTGGCGCCGCTGGATCACCTTGCACGCCTGCAGAAACTGGTTCTGGGTGAGCCGCTGGGAATCGCCGGTTGCCGTCAAGGACGCGAGCGGGCCGACGCCCCGCGTGAAGAAGCGGTAGAAGTTGTCCAGCAGCGCCGCCCCTCCCGGGTCTACGTCCTTCAGCTGCACGTGGCCAGTGTCACCCCCGCCCAGGTCGAAGAAGATGTCGCGCGCATTGGGGACGCCCATGTCCCGCAGCGCCTTGACGAAGGCAACCTCGCCGAGCCTGTAGGCGCTCTGGCTGTCTAGCGCCCTCCGCCAGCCACAGACGCAGGTGCCGAACTGTCCCCTCAGCAGCTTGCGGAGGCCCTGGGGCGTGCCCTCCACCATGGCGATGCTGTTCTGCTCCCAGACTGCGCGCGCCTCGCCCATCTGCTCCCGCACCTCGCCCGCGCGGTGGACGCTCTGTGCCGTCGGCTGCGCGTAGGACGCCGTGGAGCCGCCGCTGGCGCCACCCTGCAGCGGGTCGCCGGTGCCCTTGTCCAGTCCGCCGCTCGACATACGGCGACTGCCACCCCCTTGCAGCAAGCCACCAGCGTCCTTGTCCAAGCTGCCGCTCGACATACTGCGACTCCCCCCCCCTTGGAGGGAAAGAGACCGATGACCATGACCAAGACTGACTGACCGCGAAAACGTCGGTGTCGACCTTGGTCATCATCCATCTTAGTCATAGTCAATTCGTCAATCGCCCTCGCGAATCGGCGACAGCCAGCATGGACCATAACCAACATCGGCGACGACAAGAGCCCGCGGCATCCTGGTCATGGCCAGCGTGTTTCTTCCGTCGACCCCCCTCGCCTAACGGCCGAAACGACCCAGCACCGAACCCCCGCTTGGCGGGGCGAGCAGGTCCCGCAGCGCACCTTTCCCGGACCTCCCGCTTGGCGGGGGGCCCTGTGCGGCAGACTCCAGCCCGGCCCCCTGGGCGCTAGGCGCCCATCGCGGACGGGGGGACTGAGCCGAAAGGGCTTGCGGAGGCAAGATGGATAGAGCATCGAGCCAGACACGTCGTCAACTGCGCCACACAGATTCACGACCGGCTGCATGATGTGCTGGTTTCGGTCTGGTCCTGGGCCTGTCGGGGGCAAGCCCCTTCTCTCTCGCAGGCGCGCGCGCGCCAACAAGCGCCTGCGGAGGCGGTGCAGGAGGATCGTCACCAGCAGCATCGGCAGGGGGAGGCCCAGGATGCGGGCAGGATCCTATCCTCCCCCTCGCCCTCCTCCTCCTCCTCCAGCGCCCTCCTGCTTGGCGTCTCTCGCCCACGAGGGTCGGGGCGGATCGTCGGCGCGGCTGGTATCGCGTGCTGGGCAGGGACTGCAACACTGGAGCTGCAGGGAAGCAGCAGCTTTACAGCCACGGCGAGGGTACTGCTGTGCGGCCACAGGCGAGGCTACCTCGGAGGCACAGAGACAGACTACTCCAAGCAAGGACGCAACCAGCGGCACGCGCGTGCTTTAGGAAAGTGTTGTGCAAGCTGCAACCTCATCCAACCCCTGGTGCGACTCTACGCCCGCCAACGTCACAACTATTACACAGAACGGCCTTCGGTTATAGATCAAATAACAGAAGTTGAGGATGACCCCGAACGGAACGTCGATTTCAATGTCGGATCATGTCGGATCATGTCGCGCGATGATGTCGGACGTAGCCGAGACCGATTCGGACAAAAAAACTGTTCCGTTCCCGTCTTGCGGGGTTGCGGGTGGTCGTCCGGTGGTTGTCCCATGGATGTCCCGTGTGATGACCGTGGTTGGTCCGTGCTTGTACCGTGGGCTGTCCCGTGTGTCCCGAGGTTGTCCCGTCGGTTGCCCCGCGGTTGACCCGCATTCCGATTGCATGTGTCGTTGCGCTCCCAATTACACGTGGATGCCAGTTGGGTTCGCATGCCGATGCGCATTCCGATTGTACTCCGATTTGGACTTCGATTTGGGAATAGAATCTGCATTCAAGCGATTTGGACTTCGATTTGGGAATAACATCTGCATTCATGCAGCAAGTGGATGCGCATGCCGCTTCATCCCGATGTGCATGTGGATGTCCAGCTTGCTGTGCGTTTCGCTGTGCAGTTATACCTGTATCCTTCGATTGAAAAACTAGAAGCATATGTGCGCGCGTGTGTGTGTGTGTGCGTGCGTAAGCGCGTGTGCGCGTGTGCGCGTGTGTGTGTGTGTGGGTGGTGTGTGTGGTGTGTATGTGGGTGTGTGTGTGTGTCTGTGTCTGTGTGTGTGTCTGCGTCTGTGTGTGTGTCTGTGAGTGCGTCTGTGTGTCTGTGCGTATGTGTGTCTGTGTCTGTGTGTCTGTGTGTCTGCGAGTGTGCGTGTGTTTGTGCGTGGGTGTGTCTGTATGTCTGTGTCTGTGTGTCTGTGTGTCTGTGCGTTTGCGTGTGCGTGTGCGCGCGCGTGTGCGTGAGCGTGTGCGTGTGCAGGTGCGCATGCGCGTGCGCGTGGCCCGGCCGCGCGCGCATCGGCTCCGACCTTGCTCCGCCTCGGCGCTGCACGAGAGGCCGCGACCGCCAAAAGTGCGTGCGAATGAGTGTGCGCTTATGAGCCGTGTGTGCTTGTGTGTGCGTGTGTGTGTGTGTGTGTGCGCGTGTGTGTGTGTGTGTGTGCGTGTGCGTGTGCGTGTGTGGGCATGTGTGTATGTGCGTGTGTGCGTGTGTGCGTGTGTGTGTGCGCGTGTGCGTGTGTGTGTTTTTGTTGTGCTGGGGTGTGTGCGCGCGTGCGTGGTGTGTGTGTGCGTGTGTGTATGTGTGTGCGTGCGTGCGATTGTGCGTGTTTGCATGTATGTGTGCGCGCGTGTGTATGTGTGTGCGTGTGTGGGAGCCTTTGTGTGCGGGCTTATGTCTGTGTTTGTCGTTGTGTTTGTGCGTGTGCACGTGCGCGTGTGTGCGCATGCGTGAGTGCCTGTGTGAGTGTCTGTGTGTGCGTGTGCGTGCGCATATGCGTGAAAAGGTGTGCGTGTGTGCGTGCGTGTGCGCGCGTGCATGTGGGCGTGCGAGCGTGCGTGCGTGTGTGTGTGTGTGCGTGTGTGGATGCGTGTGTGTGTGAACATGTGTGAATGTGTGAATGTGTGTGTGTTTGTGCGTGCATGTGTGCGTGTGTGTGTGTGCGTTGTTGTGCGCGTGTGCACGTGAGTGCGTGTGTGCATGTGTACGTGCGCGCGTGCGTGTGTGCGTAAGTGCGCGTGTGTGTGTGTGTGTGCGCGCATGAATGCGTGCATATGTACCCGTGTGTGTGTGTGTGTGCGTGTGTGTGTGTGCGCGTGTGCGTGTGTGCGTGTGTGTGTGTGTGCGTTTCTGAGTGTGCGTTTGTGTGTATGCGTAGGCGTGCGTGCGTGCGTGGGTGTGCCTGTGAGTGCGTGTGTGTGTGTGTGCGTGTGTGCATGTGAGTGGGTGTGGTTGTACGTGTGAGTATGTGTGTGTGTGTCTGTGTATGCGTGCGTGTGCTGCTGTGTGCGTGCGCGCGTGCCTGTGAGTGCGTGCGCGCGCGTGTGCGTCGGCCCTACTGACGCGCAACGCCCCGAATCCAGCGCGCCAGAACGGGCCGAAGGCCGATGACACATAGGCTCCTCGCGCCATCGCACGACCGAGCCACGCGCCCAGGCACCATGCAGCCCCCGTCCCAGGAGGCAGCCAGGCGCACCGCTGCGGCGGCACGGGCGCCGCCTCAGCGGCTCCCCCGGGAGTTCCCGACCCACGCCGACTCGGCCCACTTGCCCCACGCCGACTTGGCGGCCCAGCGCCGCCCAGCAACTCCAGCGGCTCCAAGGGAAAGGCACCCTGCAGGCCTCGGGCCTCGTCCGCGCCGTCAGGGATGAGAACGGCGGCGGCTTGCCGCCGTCGCCCCTGCCAGGGGGGCCCAGCGCGCGCCTCGCCCTGCACGCTCGCAGGCTCGTCGTCGTCAGCGCCCGGTGCCGAAGACGATTTGCAAGCAAAGGAACGCCTTATACAGGAACCCGGTGGCGAAGTTCCGGAAGAAGCAAAATGCCGTGGTGGTGGTGCCGTCAGCAGCGCGTCATGTACACCAGCCTCAAGTGGTCGCGGGAGAGGACGCACCACTTATCTAGGTCGACGCCCGAGAGGGTGAGGAGCACCGCTGGGCCGGAGTGCAACGCTGTGCCACCGAACGGGATGCGGGAGAGGCCCAGGCCGTGGTAGTCCAAGGTGCCACGTACACATGGAAAGAGAGCCACAGTCTGAGGCGCGGCTGTCAGGTCAAGCCAGGAACAACTCGTAATCTGCACATCCACATACAAAGTTGTGTGTGTGTGTGCGCGCACGTGGGTTGGGTGGGTGGGCGGGCGCAGGAGGATGTGGCGAGGGGGGAGGAGGAGGAGTGGGTGTCGCCGGCTTGTCCAGGGTGCACACACTGCTCACAGGAAACCTAATGGACCCAGACCTGTGGAAGGAGGATTGGGTGGGGAAGGGCAGGCAGAGAAGGGCTGCAACAGAGGATGGGGGGAGGAGGAGGAGGAGGAGGAGGAGGAGGAGGAGGAGGAGGAGGAGGAAGAGCAGGAGGAGGGGGAAGATGAGGAGGAGGAGGAGGAGGAGGAAGAGGGAGGAGGAGGGGGATGAGGAGGAGAAGGAAGAGGAAGAGGAGGAGGAGAGGAGGAGGAGGAGGAGGAGGAGGAGGGGCAGGGAGGAAGAGGAAGAGGAGGAGGAGGATTATGATGATGAGGAGGAGGCGGAGGACCAGGTAGAGAGGAAGAACATACGATATGAAAGCGGAGAGGGAGGGGGAGGGACCGAGGAGGGAGAACGAGCAGGGGCAGCAGTGGGGAGGAGGAGCAGCAACAGAAGCAGCAGGCTCGTAGGACGGGGCCTCCCGTGTTTGAGTCACCTCTTTGACCCGCTCACGGCAACAAAAAAAACTGCAGCGGAGCGTGCTCACCTAGCACGCGGATGTCCACCGCCCAGCCGAAGCCGAAAATCGAGATCAAGCCTTCGTTCCTTCTCCTCCTCCTCCTCGTCCTAATCCGCCTCCTCCTCCTCCTCCTCCTCCTCCTCCTCCTCCTCCTCCTCCTCCTCATCCTCATCCTCATCCTCATCCTCATCCTCCTCCTCCTCCTCCTCCGCCTAATATGTCTCCTCCTGCTCCTCCTCCACCTCCTCCTCCTCCTCCTCCTCCTCCTCCTCCTCCTCCTCCTCCTCCTCTACCTAGTCTTCCCGCTTGCTCCTCTGCCTCCCCCTACATCTTCTCACACCCCTGACACCTGTCTCCTCCTCCTCGCCTGTCCCTTCCATATTGTGCTCAACATCACTGCTGATCAGCGTTCTCCCTTCATCTTCGCCGCCTCCTCCTCCTCCTCCTCCTCATCCTCGGTTCTTTTCTTCTCGGCGAGCCTAGGTCAGCATGCTGGCGACCGTAAGCATTATGCTGTGAGGCGTTGATTACCCATGCGTGTACGGCTTCGCCCAGCGCAATGGTTCCCGCAGTCGCTGACAGCACAGAAGTCCAAGACATAGTCAGAGGAATCAAAATGCCACTCGTGCAACCCTTGCCCACCCCTCTAGAAACCAAGCGGCTGCCGAGCAGTAGCCTGCCTGGGTCCCGCCGTGGACATGCAGAAGCAATATGAAGTCACTGAAACTAGCCCACGTCCGGTATGAGAAATTGCTGGCACCATTACCTTCGCTTGTCCACCGTATGATTCAAGAACAAGTCCACTATGTTGTTCCACTCGCGTGGTCACCAGTGGGCCGCACTATCGATGTATTGAAACGCACGCAAGGACACTCTGACCTTAAAGTGTGCGAGATGTGGATCGGTCAGTACACTCTCCCCGCTGGCCTCGCCAACCATTGGTTGGCAACCAATTGCTGGTGCAAAGCTGCCCAGCCCGCTGCGGAACTGCGGCTCTGGCGCCCCGTCCACGCTAGATCTGGCCCCTCCCACACGCTTGCTCGTGCTCAGCAGGCCACCATCGCTTTGCTGTAGCTCCAGTGTGGCGACTATTCTGGCGGGCTGGAATGCCGTTGAACGTAAAACAGGCCCTTAGCTTCACAGACTCGCCGCTCGGGCTAACCATCAAAAAGTGCACGACAGGTGTGGAGTAATTCTCGCCTTCCCAGCCAGACGCGCGACTGCGTTCGGCGCTGAAGGTTCTGTGGCACTGTGAGACAATGTGAGGCTCGCGGATGTGCTCGTCGCCGAGGACTTCGGGGCGATGTGGAACCCTTCGAGACGCGCGACTGCGTTCGGCGCCGAGGGTTTCGTGGCACTTTGAGACAGTGTGAGACTCGCGGACGTGCTCGGCGCCGAGGGCTCCGGGCACTTTGAGGCCTTTTGAGACTGTTCGAAACCGCTTTGGGACCGCCATCGGACGCGTCCGGTGTGTGAATGTTTACCATGTCGTCGATTTTGAGACTCATCAGACAGTCATTCTTTATAATACTAAAATAAGAGTCGGACAGTCTCAAGGCGGTTCGAGCGCGGACGGGGCCGCCGCCGAGCGGATGGGGCCGCCGCCCAAGCGCGATCCAAGCGGTGCTGAATTTTAGTCCACCTTTTGGCCCACGTCGGCTCGACGTGCGTGCAGCGCCAAATGTGACTGATGTGAATTGCCGTTGATATAATGTGGGCTCAAATGCTTCCATGCGAAAACTGGAGGAGTTCGTTTCCAACTGTTCTTCTCCGACTGTATCCCTATCCTCCCCATCCTCCTCCTCCTCCTCCTCTTTCTCCTCCGCTTCTTCTTCTTCTTCTCATTATTATTGTTATTGTTGTTTTTCTTATTCGTTTTCTTTTCTTCTACCTCATCCTCCTCCTCCCCCTCCTCCCTTTCTCCTCCTCCTCCTCCTCCTCCTCCTCCTCTTCCTCCTCCTCCTCCTCCTCCCCCGCATCCTCCTCCTCCTCCTCCTCCTCCTCCTCCTCCTCCTCCTCCTGCTGGGCCTCACTCCGGGAACGCCTCCTGCAGGCGGAGGAGCACGAAGCCCAGCACGATGCCCCACAGGATGGTGAACGAAGACACCAGGGCGTAGGGGATAATCTCCTCGAAGAGCAGGCCTGGCAAGACGAGGGCACGAATCACCAACAACACCGGGCGCGGAGCACAGACTCGGGACTTCCTGAGGGCCGATGGGGCCAGAGGGCACGTCGGGCACCGCGGCCGCTCGAGGGCGCTGCGGGAGCCAGGAAGGCACTCCAGAGAGATCTGGAGCAGCCTCTCCGCATCCTGCAGGCATCGTGCCTCTGGAACGCTGGCTGAAGAACGAATGGGCTTTTCTGGCCACAGCGAGCCCGGGCAACGAATCGCCCCCCCGATCCAATTCCAAGGAGCGGCCCGACAATCAGAGCCCCTCCTGAGCCCTGAGTGGCCCTTGTTTCAGCGTCTTGGGCGCAGGCCACCTCCCTTCGGAAGCCCAGAAGCACGACCGCAACGGTTGGCAACACGCTTCGCGCTGCGCGGCACGCTTCGCAAAGCGCTTCGCGCACGGGTCACTTCACTTCGCGCCTCGGCGCGCACGAGACGCGCTCATCTTCCGCGATCCGATCTCGCGCAGCTCCAGCGGAAAGGTGCAAGTCCTCTCTGGCCCGAACCTCTCGAGGCCCGCAGCGCGGTCGTCTCTGCGCCCCCGCGGTGGACTGGGCTCGCGTCTGGTACGGTAGAGTGAAACAATCACTGAACACTCCCCCTCCAAACTCAAAGTTGGCACGCGCGGGGGAGGCTGCGGTCGAGGTGCAACTCACCTGACCCACCGCTAACTTCGAGCATCGGGGGGAGGGGGGGGCGTTGACATGTGGATGTGGCATGAGTGCTCGCTATTTGTTTCCGAGGCCTGTCCCTCTGGGGGGGCCACGCGCGGGATATGGACATGCGGAGGGCTGGCGTGCCTGGCCACGCAGGGGCCGAGCGCTGGACATGTATGCGGCCGCGTGTCCAGCTCTCCCCCAGGCCAGCCGCGTCATGTGCATCCAGCTTCCTCCTCCTCCTCTTCCTCCTCCGCCTCCTCCTCCTCCGCCCTCCTCCTCCTCCTCCTCCTCCTCCTCCTCCTCCTCCGCCCTCCTTCTCCTCCTCCTCCTCCTCCTCCTCCTCCTCCTCCTCCTCCTCCTCCTCCTCCTCCTCCTCCTCCTCCTCCTCCTCCTCCTCCTCCTCCTCCTCCTCCTCCTCCTGGTAACCCATGGCCCCCGACCAGTGTAGCGGGCCCCGAAGAGCTGCGAGCCGTTCGCGTGGGCGGCGTCGGTTGCCACGAGCAGCCTCGGGTCGGACGGAGGGAGATACTATAGTACAGGGGCGGCTGGCGAATCAGCTCACAAGGCTGCTTTTTCCCTGGCGCCTCCTGGCGCTGGGGGGCGCCAGCGTCATCGAGGAAGGGCGCAGGGTGACGGAGCCGAAACACCAGCTGCGCGCAGCAGAGTGCGGAGCCCACCTCTCCTGGAGGAGAACAGAAACTGCATAAACATAAGCCGTTGGACGTCCATGCGGATCTTCTGGGTCGGCGCTGGGCACCCCTCCCTGGCGCACGGAGCGCGCCAGGGACGGCGCCGGAAGCGCCGCCAGGGGGTCCCAACGCCGATCCAAGTCATCCGCGCAGAGCTCCGAAAAATCACGGTTATCTAGTCTTCTGTTATACCGAAACCGCTACTCCACGGACCCCTCCTGGGGCGCGTTTTGATCAGAATTTCTCGAGGCCCCAAACAGCGAAAACGTGGCAAGGGTAGCGGTCTCAGTCCCTCCCCCTCCTCTGAATATCCCCTCCCCCTTTCGTCCGACCAAACAGCCCCGAGGCGGCGCCGAGGGCTGCGGCGTCGACCTCGGCTACACTCAAGAGTGACCCGAGGCAGGATTGACCTCTGGTGCGCGGCTCTTGGGGGCCGCTGGGGGGGGGGGGGGGGGGGCAAATCCCTCTGCGCAGGCCAGCGCTGGGGATCACCCGAGAGCCTGCACCAACGGAGGCCTCCCAGGTGGAGCTCGAGCGGAGTGGATCGGAGGACGGCACCGCATCGCCGATGCATCGCCGATTCGTCGCCGACGCACCGCCGATGCGTCGCCGCCGGCGGGGTGGAGAAGACTGGGCTCCGCACCGAGCCGCATGGCCGATGCATCGGCGATGCGGCGCGATCCTCCGACGCTCACGCACGCGGACCCCATTTGGGGGCGCCTGGAACCACAAGGCCACTCCAGCGAAGGGCCGCTTCTACGATAACAACAAGAACAACAACAACAACAACAACAACAACAATCACTTTACCCGAACGCTCAGTGTTCTCACCAGTGCCAGGGTTTTCATGCGACGCCAGCCAATACCCCCACTTTGTGGGGGGGCAGTGCAAGCTCTACCAAATATCCACACGACTCTTCGCCACCACCCACACCCAGCTTCCCGCCCTATGACGTTCGGACACTTCACTTCGTGGCCTGCGGACGACCGTGGCTACTACACTGGCGTGGAGTACACACCCACAGAAGTTGTTAAGCCTACGTTCGTACACCCACAGAAGTTGTTAAGCCTTGTTAACCCACAGAAGTTGTTAAGCCTTCCACAGAACATCTGTTGCATATGATGCATATGGTACATGATACACATGATACACATGATACGTACTCACAAGATAGTTGATCACATCTTTAGGGCAAATTCCTGAGGGATGTGGGAATACACAAGAGAGAGAGGATATGGTTGTCCCGATGGTTGTCTCGATGGTTGTCCCGATGGTTGTCCTGATGGTTGTGGTTGTCCCGATCGTTGTCCCGATGATTGTCCCGATGGTTGTCCTGATGGTTGTGCTTGTCCCGATCGTTGTCCCGATGACTGTCCCGATGATTGTCCCGATGGTTGTCCCGATGGTTGTTCCGATGGTTGTCCCGATGGTTGTCCCGATGGTTGTGAGCGATGCCGGATCCTCACGCCCACATGGTCCCGCATGGTATTATTTGACAGGGATGATGGCCCTGGCAGGTGCGCAACCGTTGTCGCAGAAGTTCGAAAAAGTTGCTCGCAAAAGCCCGTTTGACAGAAATGTTTAAAAAGTGTTGGGTTTCCTACGAATCCGCAAGAGCGCGCGGGATGAGATTTTGACATTTTTTTGTTGAAAAACCATTGGTTTTTTGATGTTTTTATGTTAAAATCGCTGCGAACACTAAGGTTTTGGAAGGATTTCGTCTTGCGCGCGCGAATGTCCACTTTACCTTATTTTTTGCAAGGGATTCTTGAAATTTGATTATATTAGAACAAGAAATGTCATTTTCTATTGTTTTTTGCAAGGGAAAGCGGATTACAACAAAACAACCGGATCCTGTACACACCCTCTTTTCTGAGGCTTCCTCACGAAAATGATGAAAATGTAGCTGCGGCCTAGGCGGCGCAGGGGGGGCGCGCACCAGGGGGCCCAACAATAATTATTCTTTAGAATAAATAATGTTCAACAACAACAACAGCAGCAGCAGCAGCAGCAACAACAGCAGCAACAACAGCAGCAACAGCAACAACAGCAACAGCAACAGTAACAGCAACAGCAGCAGCAACAACAACAGCAGCAACAACCACAACAACAACAACCACAACAACAACGACAACGGCAACGGCAACAACAACAACAACAGCAACAATAACAACAACTGCAACTGCAACAGCAACAGCAACGGCAACAACAACAACAGCAGCAACAACAACAATAATCACAGCAACAGCAACAACATCATTGTCAACAACAACAACAAGCACAACAACAACCACCACCACCACCACCACCACCACCACCACCACAACAACAACAACAACAACAATTACTAGCACGTGGGGACACTCCGTTCTCACCAGTGCCAGGGTTTTCATAGGAGGCGGGCAATACCCCCACTTTGTGGGGGGGCCGGTTCAAGCTCTACCAAATTTCCAAACGACTCTTCGCCACCACCCACACCCAGCTTCCCGCCCTATGACGTTCGGACACTTCACTTCGTGGCATGCGGACGACCGTGGCTACTATTCAGGGCCCCGCGGCCGACGACGACGGCGTGCGCGCGCGAAGAAAAAACGAATGTGTCCCGCATGGTATTATTTGACAGGGATGATGGCCCTGGCAGGTGCGCAACCGTTGTTGCAGAAGTTCGAAAAAGTTGCTCGCAAAAGCCCGTTTGACAGAAATGTTTAAAAAGTGTTGGGTTTCCTACGAATCCGCAAGAGCGCGCGGGATGAAATTTTGACATTTTTTTTTGAAAAACCATTGGTGTTTTGATGTTTTTATGTTAAAATCGCTACGAAAACTAAGGTTTTGGAAGGATTTCGTCTTGCGCGCGCGAATGTCCACTTTACCTTATTTTTTGCAAGGGATTCTTGAAGTTTGGTTATGTTAGAACAAGAAATGTCCACTTTAGCTTATTTTTTGCAAGGGAAAGCGGGCGTCAACAAAACAACCGGATCTGGTACACATCGTTTTGCCTGAGACTTCCTCACGAAAATGATGAAAATGAGGCTGCGGCCTAGGCGCGGCGAGGGGGGCGTGCACCAGGGGGCCCAACAATAATTATTCTTTAGAAGTAATAATATTCAACAACAACAACAGCAACAGCAACAGCAACAGCAACAACAACAACAACAACAACAACAACGACAACAACAACGACAACAGCAACAACAACCAAAACAACAACAAACAACGGCATAAACACATACTGTTGGCGCTCCGCGCGGATTTCCTGGATCTGAGCGTGACCCCTCCCTCCCTGGCGCGCGGAGCGCGCCAGGGGCGGCGCCGAGTGGAGCCCGCCGGGGCGCTCCAGCGCAGATCCCAGCAATCTCCGCGCGGAGCGCCCAAAATCTCTGCTTGTGCCGTTCCTTCCTCTTCGATCTGCGCGCAGCCGACGACCCCCGCAGGCCGCGCCGGCGCGGGCGCCGGCAGGAAGGCGCCCGGGGAGCTCAGCAGCGCCGCGGCGCCGAGGGCGAGGAGCAGCGCGGGCAGCGCGGCCGGGCGGCGCGCCGTGGAGGGCATGGCTGCTGGCTGGGGTCCGCGGGGGCCTCCTAAGAAGGGGGCCAGGGGCAGGGCGTGTGAGGCGGGAGCACATCCATACGTGTATATATATATATAGAGAGAGATACATCCATATCTATATACGTATATGCACATACATAAATACATGCATATCATAGATCTTCTATATGTATATACCTCTATATCTCTATACATCTATATGTTTATGTATATGTGATGTATCTACAAGTATATCACAGGAACGCAAAACGCATCAACACAGACCTTCGGAGGTCCGCGCGGACTTCCTGGGTCGGCGCTGGGCCCCCCCCCCCCCCCTTGGCGGCGCCGCGAGACAGGGGCCGCCAGGGCGAGGCGGGAACACATGCCCTGTGCACCCCACGAGGCGCTGTGCTGGTGTACCGCGTGGGGCGGACGCACGCGAACGTCGCCACGGGGGGCCGTCGGCGGAGCGCCCCCTGGGGCCGCGAAGCGCTGTGCTGGGTGGGGCGGGCGGCACGCGGACGTCGCCACCTGTGCCCTCGACGGGGCTCCCTGCGGGGCCACGGAGCGCTGCACTGGGCGGGGCGGGCGCACGCGAGAAGGGGGGCCACGGGCAGAGCGCGCGGGGCGGGACCGCGTCCAGCTGCGGGAGCGAAGGGCGCATCAGCACAGACCTTCGGAGGTCCGCGCGGACTTCCTGGGTCGGCGCTGGGCCCGCCAAAAGGCGGCGCCTCGAGGAAGGGGGGCGGCCGGGTCGTCTCGGAGGCCGTCGCTCGTCGTCTTGGGCTTGAGGTCGTCGGGCGTTGTCATCAGTTCTCGAAGGCGTTCTAGAGTTAGGTCGGGCATGTCCTCCTGCAGGCGGAGCTTGGACGAAAAATTAAAAAGAGTTCAACAATGCTTGCAAATGCAAATTGTCAAAAAATCATCCCCTTACTGTTTTGTTTTACAATTTTTGGCCATACCTGCTGAGGAGGGACATGCTCGACTCCACTCTGGCGTCGTGATGCCGCCGAGGCCGTCCTGGGGGCGCCTGGAGCGTCCCGAAGGGCCGCCGGAGGCCCAAGCGACGGCCCCAGAACCACTCGGAGGGGGGAAGGGGGCCCTCGCAGAGCGAATGAGGCAGGTCTCCTCGGGAGCCTTTAGAAGCCCCAGGGCCATCGAGAATGGACCCAGCACGAAGCAGCCTGGGGAGGGACCCAACCGCGGCTGCGTGTACCGCGAGGGGGATGCGACGAAGGAAGGGGCACGCAAACTCCGAGTAGCGCACGCGGCAGAGCCTCTCGCGACGCGTGTGAAAGTTGTCACCGGGGCCTTCGGTGGCGCTCCCTATGGGGCTACGAAACGCTGTACTGGGTGGGGCGGACGCAAGCGAACGTCGCCACTGGTGCCTGCGGTGGAGCTCCCCATCGGGCCACGAAGCGCTGTACTGGGTTGGGCAGGCGCGTGCGAACGTCGCCATTTGGGACTTCGGCGGAGCTACCTATGGGTCTACAAAGCGCTGTACTGGGTGGGGCAAAAGCATGCGAACGTCGGCGTTAGGGTCTTCGATAGAGCTCCTGGAGGGAACACGAAACGCTGCACTGAGTGGGGCGGACGCATGTAAACGTCGTCACTGGAGCCTTCGGTGGTGCTCCCTGTTGGGCTACGAAACGCTGCACTGGGCGGGGTGGACGCATGCGAACGTCGCCACGCGGGCCGTCGGTGGAGCTCCCCATGGGGCCACGAAGCCCTGTGCTGGTTGGGGCGGACGCATGCGAACGTTGCCACTGAGGCCTTTTGTTGGAGCCCCCTATGGCGCCACGAAGCGCTGTACTTGGTGGGGCGGACGCATGCGAACGTCGCCACTATTGCTTTCGATGGAACTCCTTATGGGGCCACGAAACGCTGTACTGGGCGGGGCGGACGCACGCGAACGTCTCCACCGGGAGCTTCAATGGACCTCCCCACGATGATACAAAGCGCTGTACAGGGTGGGAGGGACGCATGCGAACGTCGCCACTGGGGCCTTCGGTGAAGCCCCCGATGGGGCCACGAAACGCTGTACTGGGCGGGGCAGGCGCATGAGAACGTCGCCCCAGGGCCTCTGTTGGAACGCCTTATGGACTTACGGAGCGCTGTACTGCGTAGAGTGGACACACGCGAACGTCGCCACGGGGGCCTTCGGTGGAGCTCCCTGTGGGGCAACGAAACGCTGAATTGGCTGGGGCGGGCGCATGCGAACGTCGCCACTTGTGCCTTCGATGTGGCTTCCTATGTGGCCACACAGCCTTGTACTGGGTGGGGCGGACGCACGCGAACTTCGCCACTTGTGCCTTCGGTGGAGCCCCCTGTGGGGCCACGAAGCGCTGTACTGGGTGGGGCGGGCGCATGCGAACGTCGCCACTGGGGTCTTTGGTGGAGCTCCTGTGCCTACGATGGAGCTCCTCATAGGGCCACGAAGCGCTGTACTGGGCGGGGCAGGCGCATGCGAATGTCCCCCGTGGGGCTTTCGGTGGGGCCACGAAGCGCTGCAATGGACGGGGCGGACGCATGCGAACGTCGTCGCTGGGGCCTTCGGTGGAGCTCCCGAATGGGCTACGGAACGCTGTGCTGGGCGGGGCGGACACATGCGAACGTCGCCACCTGTGCCTTCGGCGAAGCTCCTATGGGACCACGAAGCGCTGTACTGGGTGGGGCGGACGCATGCGCACGTCGCCACTGGAATTTCCAGCGAAGCTCACCACAGGGCCACGAAGCGCTGCACTGCGCAGGGCGCATGCGAACGTCGCCACCAGACCACAAAACGCTGTACTGGGTGGAGCGGACGAATTCGAAAGTCGCCACTGAGGCCTTCGGTGGAGGAGCTCCCTTTCGGGCCACGAAGCGCTGTACTGGGTGAAACGGGCGCATGCGAACGTCGCCACCAGTGCATTCGGTGGAGCTCCCGATGGAGCCAACGAAGCGCTGTACTGGGTGGGGCAGACGTTGGGTCCTTGGGCGAACATCGTCATTGGGTCCTTCGGTGAAGCTCCCTATGGAACCACGAAGCGCTGTACTCGGCCGGGCGGACGCATGCGAACGTCGGGGGAGGGGGGGGGAAGAGGAGAAGCAGGAGGAGGAGAAGGCGGAGGTGGACGCGGGGCGCTCTCTTCAAAGCAAGGACCCTACACCACAGGATGGTTGGGAAAAACTGCAGAATCAGAAACTTTCGGAGCTCCGCGCGGAATTCTTGGCGCGCTCCGCGCGTCAGGAAGGGGGTCCAGAGCCGATCCCAGATATCCGCGCGGACCTCCGAAGGTTTTCGTATAGGGAGTTGCCTGTTCCTCTCGCCAAGCGTGTGCGACCCAACTCTCTGACGATCGGATGTTTCAACCGGTGGTTGCTCCTCTGTTTAGCCCCTCTGGGGCTGTTATCCGTCCCTGGACTTAGGTCGGACATGTCCTCCTACAGGCGGATTTTTGAATAAAAAGAAGAAGAACTCAAAAATATTCAATAATTCTGTTCGGCAATACTTTACATCAAAATTGAGAATCGTCCCCAGAGGTTTTTTACTACTTTTGAATGTTCCCCTCCTGTAGAGGGACATGCCCGACTTAACCCAGGGACCGTTCAACACGAATCCGGGACGAAAAATACCCCTCCGGAAGGGGTCGGATCCTCTGGGGCCGCCGATGGAGCTGATCTGGGGAGGCGGGCGGGGATCTGCCCGTAGAACCACCGCCCGGGGCCTCGACTTTCGTGGACCTCGGCTGGCGGTAGGTGTGGACCCATCTGGCCCCCCCGCTGGGCCCCAACACGCCCATGTCCCCAGACCCTCGACGTCATGATTTGTTCACAGCGTCGACCCCCAGAGGTCTGGCCCCCTTTCCCGGGACCGGTTTTCTCATCATGAGTCGTTCTGCTGACGGTTTCCAGGGCCCGCATGAGGGCCCCCGGAACGGTTCTTCCCCAACGTGAGCGGTTTTTTCCCCAACTCGAAGGGGTCTGGGTCCACCGCCCGCCAAGGCGATTCCCCCCGGGCGATGGTTGCTGGCCTGAAGTCGGGCGTGTCCCCCTACAGGAGGATCTTGGGCGAAAAATCAAAAGAACTCACAAAATACCCCCCAAAAGAGCAAAAATAGTCCAGAATCGTCCCCAGACTATCTTTAGATTCTTTTCGAATGCCCCTCCTGTGGAGGGACGGGCCCGACTTTGATGCTGGCCAGACGGCACCGACCGCGTCGCTGGCTGCGCCGACGCAGCGCGGGGCTCGAGAGGGGGGGCGGGGCCTCCCGGTCGCGCTGCCTCGGCTTCCCGGGCCTCAGATCGCTTTCACTAAACCACGCTTTGCTACAGGGAGGTCTGTCCATCCCCGAGCTATCGAGGAGGAGGAGGAGGAGGAGGAGGAGGAGGAGGAGGAGGAGGAGGAGGAGGAGGGGGAGGAGGAGGAGGGGGAGGAGGAGGAGGGGGGGGGGGCCTCCCGGCCTCCCGGGCCTCCCGGGCCCCGGCTCGGCACCGCGTCGGGGCGGTGCGGTGCGGTGCCGCCTTGGCCGGCTGCGCGCAGGGAGAGAGGGCCCCGGACAGGATTGACCCTTCGGTGCGCGCCCTTCGGGGGGAGCCGCGGAGGAGGCCCAACTCGGCGGCGAGCGACGGGGGGGGAGGCTCCTCAGCAGCCCTCGGGCCTTCTAAGGAGGTTGCCTGCGTCTTCTCCTCTGGGAAGGCCGCCTGAGAAGGCCTTCTCCTTCTCACTTCCCCCCCCCCTCGCGCGCCGCCCAGAAACACGGAGCGTGCAGGCCGCTGCCATCGCATCGATCTGGGGGCCCGCACCAACGGTCAGTCGGGCGAAGGGTGACTCATTCGTGCAGCCGACCTGGCAAAGCCCCAGCAAGCGGGGCGTTACTGAACGGGCCGGTAGCTAAGGGTGCGTTTTCAATGGCGTTTTCAAGAAAATGATTAGCCGCGCACAAGTGCGAGGTAAACCCCTCCCTCCCAGGGATACGACGCTGTGTCGACGTTTCTGTTGTCCCGATTCATCAGGCACTGGTGCAAGGCAAATGCCCCGTCGCCACGACTTCACGCTTGAAGAAACCTCTTAGCTAGCGCCCCGTGTATGAACGCCCCGCTTGCAGGGGCTTGGCAGGGGCTTGGCCATCGAATTCGGCCATCTGGGGACCCCACTGACCCAGAGCCCCCACGTCGGGATGTTTTCACAACGTCGGCCCCCAGAGGTCTGGACCCTTTCCCCAGGATCGGTTTCTCATCCTGAGTCGTTTCTTGACGCTCCCGAGGCCCAAGAAGCGCTCCCGGAGTCCGGACACGGCACGAAACCTCCCATCCCGACTTCTGCTCACAGCGCGAGGAGGTCCGGGGAGCCCGTACCCAAGCTCCCTCCGGCGAAGGGCCACTCTTACGCGTAGTCGCCCTGGGGGCCGCGCTGGCCCTGGCCCCGGCTAGCAGGCCCGAGGGTTCGGGGCCGCCGCGCCGCTGGCGCCGGAACGTGCGGGCTGCCGAGGGGGGCCGGAGAGGTCCTGGGCCGCAGCAGCTGCGGAGGCTCTCGGCCCGGGAGGCCCACGGCAGGCGAGGGGGGCCGATGGGCGCGGGGGCCTCGCACTCCTCTCCTGGAAGAAGGAGGAGAAGATGAAGAAGAAGAAGAAGAAGGAGACAAATAAACACAAGAACAAGTCGAACAAAAAAACAATCATAACAACAATACTGATAAGAAAATCAAGCAATGGAGAAGAATAATAATAGTAATACGAATAGCAAGAATAATAGAAATAAGAATATAATAATAATATTAATAATAATAATAATAACAATAATGGTAATCATAATACTAGTGGTACTAATAATAATAATCATAATAATAATAATAGTAGTAGTAGTAGTAGTAGTAGTAGTAATACTAATAATGCTGATAATAATAATAATACTAATAATAAGAGTAGTAATAATAGCAACATCAATTATAAGACTATAAATAGGTCCATAAGACGAAATAGAATAACAAAAATAAGAAAATAGGAAGAAGAAACGGCACGGACCTGAACAATCGGAGGTCCGTGTGGATCTCTCTAGAGCGGCGCTGCACCCTCCTCCCCGTGCGCGCGGAGCGCGCCAGAGGCAGGGGGGGCCATGGCCGATCCAGGAGGTCTGCGCGGACCTCCAGGACGTGCATGCTCATGCCGATGTGTTTCCTTGGACTTGCCGCTGGGTTGCATTTTCGTTGCTCATCTAGAAGAAGTAAAGCCACATGATACCCGAGAAAAACCCAACCCGACTTTTTTGGGGCATAGGGCTATAGGGCTATAGGGCTATAAGGACTATAAGGCAATATGGCCTATAGGGCTACAGGGCTATAGGGCTATAGGACTATTGGGCTATAGGGCTGTAGAGCTATAGGGCTATTGGGCTATAGGGCTATAGGGCTATAGAGCTAGAGGGCGATAGAGCACCCGGGCACCCGGGCACCCCCGGGCACCTCCATGTGCAGGCACCCTGGGGCACCCAGGCACCCGGGCACCCCCGGGCACCCGGGCACCTGGGCACCCGGGCCAGCCACCGAAATCGGCGACGCACCTCACCTAACCATATGAATCAGCTAGGACCCCTACAGAGGCAAGCTCTGATTGGGGAATAAACATTGACGCTCCGCGCGGATTTCTTGGATTCGCGCTGGAACCCCCTCCCTGGCGAGCGGAGCGCGCCAGGGGCGGCGCCGGAGGCACCGCCAGGGGGCCCAGGCACGGATCCATGAAATCCGCGCGGAGCGCCAGAAAAGTTTATGTTTATGTGGTCTTTTCTTCTTCGATCGTCTTTGCCTGGAACACAGCTGGGCTTAGCGCTTGCAGGACCCTATCGAATGGCGAACGATTGCGGCAAGCACTGCAAGCAGCTGTGGTGAAGGCGATTACCTGTAGCATTAGGAATGCACATTGCATGCGATGCCCGGTGCCTTGGCGCCCTACCTATTTTTCTGTCTGCGCCTACGCGCTTCGGCGTGTGGCGTAGCGTAGCGTAGCGCCGCTGGGACCAGAGGGGTGCTCACCGAGAGAACTCGGGGATCTTCTGACCCGGGTCAATCCAGACCCGGGTCAGCAAGAAACCAAAAACTGCAATGCAGGACAAAAAACCGCAACGCAGGTCCTCGCAAACCCGGGTCAGCCAATACGAGCGGCCGCCTCGCGGCCACGAGCGGCTCGCGAACCCAGGTCAGCCAGAGGGGGCCTTCGCAGAATCCTGCAGGATTTGGCGCTCTGGCTGATCCCCGTTTGCACTGACCCCCGTCTCTTATCCCCCGAAGACGGAAGTTTTTCTCGATTTTCGGCCTCTAGGGCCCCGGGACCGTCAAAAAACGACTCGGGATGAGAATCCGGTCCTGGGGAATGGGTCGAGACTTCGGGGGACCGCGCATTGAAAAAATCACAACGTCGGATCTCTGGGCATGGCGTAGCGTAGCGTAGCGCCGCTGGGACCAGAGGGGTGCTCACCGAGAGAACGTGGGCAAACCGGCACGCCGGGGCCGGACGATGATGATGATGATGATGATGATGATGAATGATGATGATGATGATGATGATGATGATGATGATGATGATGATGATGATGATGTGATGGTGATGGTGATGGTGATGATGATGATGATGATGCTGCTGCTGCTGCTGCTGCTGCTGCTGATGCTGGTGCTGGTGCTGGTGCTGGTGCTGAGGAGGAGGAGGAGGAGGAGGGGGAGGAGGAGGGGGAGGAGGAGGAGGAGGAGGAGGAGGAGGAGGAGGGGGAGGGGGAGGAGGAGGAGGAGGACCGCCGCCCAGAACCCACCCGGGGCCCACTGCGAGGCGCGGGCGCGCCGGGCCGCCGAGAGCGGGCGCGCGCGCTCCCCGAGCCCACAAAGGGCCCTGCCGCAGCAGCGGGCACCCGTGGCTTATAGCGGAGAGGCGGGTCTGACGCGGATGGGCCCGCGGGGAGAGGTGCAGTCCGGCGGGGAACGAGACGGGGGAGGGAGAATTGGAGGCCGATTTCTGACCACACCCCCTTCCCGAGGTGCCTTGCGAAAGGCGGCTTCCAGAGGTGGGGGTGGGCAGGTTCCCCGCCCCAGGGGAAGGAAAAACTACGCACTTCCACCCCCGAGGACCTATCGTAGAATCGAGGACCCAGAGGTGGGTGTGGTCAGAAATCGGTTTTCGAGAGAACGAGCAGGCCTTCTCAGAAGGCTCGGAGGTCCCCCGGCCTTCTGAGAAAGGCTCCCAGCCTTCCACGAAGGTACGGGAACCTTCTCGGAAGGCGCGAGGGCTTCTGAGAAGTCCCGCCGCCTTCTGAGGAGGCCTTCTCCTTCTCACTTCCCCCCCTCGCTCGCCGCCGAGCAGTAGTACTTGCAATGGTCGGCCTTGCGAAGGGCACAACCAAGTGCAGTTGTGAGTCACGCAAATGTGATCATAGTCTTCGGTGGAGCTCCCCATAAGGCCACGAAGCGTATGAAGGGGGGTACCGCATTGATGGCGGGGACGCATGCGAACACCGCCACTGGGTCCTTCGGTGAAGCTCCCTATGGGGCCACGATGCGTGCGAGGAGTGTGCCGAAATGGGTGGCGGGGACGCTTACCACACCGCCACTGGGGCCTTGTGTGGAGCTCCCTATGGGGCAACAGTACGTGTGAGGAGTGCACCGAAATTAGTGGCGGGGACGCATATGGACACCGCCACTGGGGCCTCCTGTGGAGCTCCCCGTGGGGCCACGAGACGTGTGATGGGGGGTGCCGAATTGGTGGCGGGGACGCATGCGAACACCGCCACTGGAGTTTTCTGTGGCGCTCCCGATGGAGACACTAGACGTGTGATGGGTGTGCCGAAATGGGTGGCGGGGCGCATGTGGACACCGCCACTGGGGCCTTCGGTAGAGCTCCCTATGGGGCCACGAGACGTGTCAGGGGTGCCGAACTTGGTGGCTGGTGCGGAAGACAGAGACAGAGATGGGAGGAGGGGAAAAAGGAGGAGAGGAGAGGAGAGGGACGAGGGCGCTCTCTTCAAAACGAAGACCCAGGATGGTTGGGAAGGAATCGCGCGCTGGGTGCAATAGCTGCGCGTGGCTGCAAACGTGTAGCTGTTCTCACACGCAGCTGTTGTCGCCCGTGCAATGGTTCGCACCATCCCGCACCACTTGCGTACTACTGCGCGCAGCAGTACAACAATTTTTGCTTGAGCCAACAAAGAAACGATTGCACCTCTCGCCGCCGACCCGACTGCGCCAGGCCCAGTACTCCAGCCTAGACATGGGCGAGCGCACTGTAGCAGATGCACACGCTAAGAAGTCTTGCGACGAGAATCATGGGAACACATTACGAGGTCGGGCTTGGACCTCGCAGGGTGCCCCCAGAGCTCCGACGGGTTCGTGGGGGCGCCTGGGAGTCCTTCATGGCCGAGACGCAGCTGCTGACAGGCCAATTTCTTATGTTCTACGCCTACTGCAGACCGCCTTAGCAGAAGCGTCGTCAGAGGGAGAAGCAAAACAGAATCAGAACAAACCAGAGCGAAGTGACTATACAAAGGGAGAAAGCTGCCAAGTGTCACGGCGCCGGTTCGGTCCAGTATGGGTTGCTTTGCTTTGTAACTCGGCGCGCTGCTGTTCAACGACTCCTTTGCAGCGCAGTGTGGCGGGCGCGTTGACTAGCGTCTTCTGCTGTGCTGTGCTTGGTTCTAGACTGATTTGCTTCGCGATGAGCTGCTGTGCGTTGGGGTGCATTTCGTTACACTGCTGCGCGATACATTGCATCGCACTTGCATTACACTTGCATTGCATGCTGCACCTAAAGGGGTTACTCGAGGAAGGGAGATGATCCTCAGGAGGGGGAGGATCCTCAGCGATCCTGGCACGGTGCTCATATCGCAGCTGGCCTTCTTGCGAAAAAATCAAGGCCCGATCGGCACAGCCTCGCCGGCAAAAGATGACAGCGGGGCGAGGATCCATCCACATCCACCGCCTGAGGAACCGACGTCCTGGGGCCCGAGGATGCATATCTGTGTTGCCCCAGGAGATTGACAAACTCCCGCCGAGGACAAGCTCGTGCCCGCGGGCTTCGAGCCCCGGATTTCGGAGGAAGAATGAAACATAGTCACAAGATGCCCAAAGATAGTCCAAAATAATCCTAAAATCGTCCCCAGACTATTTGTTGTGCCTGTTTTTGGATACTCCTCGTGTAGAGGGACGGGCCCGACTTAACCCTATATCCTGGCGGACTCGAGGCTGTGCTGAAGACGACGCTGCCGCGAGAAGCCTCGGGCCCCGTGCACGCACGGGGGGGCCTCCTCGGCGACTGGAGCAGACGGGAGGCTCCAGACGGCAGGATGCGGAGAGGGTAAGGGAAGGAGGATGGAGGAGGAGGAGGAGGAGGAGGAGGAGGAGGAGGAGGAGGAAGAGGAGGAGGAGGAGGAGGAGGAGGAGGATGAGGAGGAGGGGGAGGAGGAGGAGGAGGAGGAGGAGGAGGAGGAGGAGGAGGGGGGGGAGAGGAGGAAGCAGGGAGAACAGAGGTTTCTTCACGATCAGCGCGACC